CAGCATACGTGACATTACCAAAATTACCGTTAGTGTAGTTGATCAAGAATTAAGACCGGTCAACTTTAGAGGAGAGAAAAGTACGCTGCATTTGGATTTTAAGGAAACGATATAGATGGGTTTAATTATAAAACAAAGCTCTACACATCAATATCCATTAGTCTCACGCAAATCTTGCAAGCGACGTGACGTGTCTGCTGCCAATAAAGCCTTTCTTATTGCCATTGGATTACAGCTAAAAGATGTCAAAACGTCAATACATTCGACGACAGGTTCAGGAGCCTCAACCACCTATTTTAGATCTTTACCAGAAACCTCTGTTCGACGATACTATTAGAAAAGAAGAATTTCGTACATATACACCTTACATCAAGTCATTTAACAATAGCGACGTTGTCGAGTTTATCATAAATCAATCAGATGCATTTTTTGCCATACACGAAACACTTTTGGAAATTAAAGGAAGTATAAAAAAAGTGGGTAATGGAACTGTTTCTCTTGCACCGAATGCTGGAGCCTTCTTGTTTGATACATGTACATATATCCAAAGTTCACATGACATGGAAATAGTTAGAGATCCAGGTGTAGTCAGCACTATTCGCAGTTTGCTGTGTTATACTCCTGAAGATTCCAAGTTTCTCAGTACTGCAGGATGGAACTATCCGAATAATCCACATTTATCGGGAGACAGCTTTAGTTTACTGATTCCGATAAAACATATTTTCAACATTTTCAACGATTACAATAAATTAACCTATGGTCGTCAAGTGTTTCGATTTGTTCGAGCACGTAATGATAGAGACAGTATTTTAGTGGAAGAACCAAATGCTACAACAGCAACAACAGTGTCTTTAACTGTTACCAGCATGGAACTGAAGGTCAAACATGTCTTTCCGAATGACGATGTGAAAATTGACTTAATGACTCCGATTAAGAATAATACACCGATAACTATACCTTTCCGTAAATGGGAACTTAATGAACTACCTTCACTTACGGCTGGATCCCGACGTGAGATATGGAGTGTAAAGACAACTTCAGCTGTTGAACGTCCACGCTATGTCATTGTAGCTTTTCAAACTTCTAAACGAGATGACATTCACGCCAATCCAACGTTATTCGATAACATTAAGGTGTCCAGCGTACGAGTGGTTATTAATGGTGAATATTGGCCTAACGAGAGAATGCAATTGGATTTTGCGAAAAATGATTATGCTATAGCTCACTACAACTATACCGAATTCTTTCCCAGTTATACTCATTCGTCAACAAAACATCCAATCTTGGATTATAATGCATTTAAAAAATATGCTTTGTTTACTTTCGACTGCTCCAAACAGGATGATACGTCATTTAGATCGGGAACCGTTGATATTAAGTTGGAAATCGAAGCAGATGAAGGTTTTCCTGCAGGCACTCGAGCATATTGCTTAATTGTCCACGACAGTCTACTCGAATACTTTCCTCTAACTGAAGTTATCAAAAATATCATTTAACTTGACTTATTCAATCATATCCAATTCAGTATACTATCAGCCATCATGAGGATCGCATTAGTTGACATTCAAGGATTCACCGTAGATGGGTGGTTTGTTCCCAAAGAACTTAGCATTGAAATTGGCTTTAAACATTGCCATTATATATTTAAACCTCCACAACCGTTTGCTACATTAAGTAATCAAGATAAGAAGACTGCTGTGTACTTGGAGAAAAACGTGCATGGTCTTCGGTATTCTAATGGAGATGTTAAATATTCAAAAATAAATAAAATACTGGAATCTAAGTTGTTGTATGCAGCTGACTACATCTACGTTCGCGGAGAACAACAAGCAGAATTTTTAAGATACAAATGTTATATGCTTGACGTCTGTCCCATAATTATTGATGTTTGCAAGTTTGATGATTCTCCATACTCCACTGGAGGCTTTGCTCCACATGAATACAACTGCCACGCTACTGGACTATTTTCCTGCTCCTCGATAAATGTGGATCACCTCCGTCAATGGCTGTGTAACAAAATATTACCTATATAAATTGGATTTTTTTTTTAATAAAAGATTAAAAGTTTTATTTTAGTTTTATTTTAACAGTTTTACATATTTATTTTAATGCAAGATGATTCGCATTTGCGATTTACAAAAAATTTTATAATGATATTACTCGCTATAAAAACATTTATTATGAATATAATGCTTAAGAGTATAATTGATAATTGACTGCTGACATCATCATCATCATTATTATTAGTCTTGTACCATTTTGAATCACTTTCGGTGTTATTTGGGGATATTAGCATGATCTTGTAGAATGTTCCTCCTGACTTTGGTGTTGCTTTGAAAAATACTGGAAGCCACCCATTATTCACTACTTCATGATCCATTAGAGTCCATTCAGTTCGATTGCAATCAGTTTTTACATCATTAAAACATATCGCCATGTTCTTAACATTGTTTGGTACGTTTGTATAGAGTACATTGTTAGCAATAGCTGTGAGAATGATGAATGGTGCTAGTTGAGACATCTTGTGGGTTGAATTCTTTTTAACGGGTATTGTGTTTTTGTTAGTTTTCTATCTGACAAATGGAACGCTGCAAATTGTTTTTCGATTGCGGTTCTATCTTCGTACCACTGTATATCCGCCTTCAACTTTTGTATTTTTTCCCAAAACTCTTCTAATCTACACCGTACGGTGGACATTGATGAAATAAATGTCTTTCACTCCATAGGTCAATACAAATAATATCCTTAATCACCCCCACTACCATGGTATAATAAAAAGAAATAAATGTTTTAATCCTTTATTCAAAAATACTGTTATTTAAATCACTAATTGTATCTTCATTATAATAATACAAATATTCCCTTAATGCTAAACTTAAAATACTAGTATCACAAGAAGCCTCACAAAATGAATATAAAATGTCTATTGGTTGTAAATCGTTTTTGAATGAAGTAGCAATTTTCAACGCATTACAATAGTAATCTAAAAATCTCAGTCCATCGAGGAAACGAATGCGTGGTAAAATTAACTTCTCGTTTCCTTCAATAAGATTCTTAACATCTTTTTCAAATATCTGCAAAGTAACACCAAGTTTCTTAACATTGAGCCATTTAAGTTGATCTGTAGCTTGAGTTTCAATTGCTAAAAATTCACAACATTCTGGAGGTTCATCTTCACAATAGCATTGTAGAGGCATGAGGAAAAACTGATTATATTTACGATTAAGTTCATCGATGAATCGGATCCAATCACATATACCGAACAATATCTCATTATTCTCGCTGCTTAATTTAACACCTGGTTCAAATGATTGAGCTGAACTTAATCCAACTAATACTTTTAAATTCTCAAAATTATACAAAGTATTAAGCAGCATCACTTCACTTTAGCTTTTACTTCCACACTGTTCATGTTGTAATGCCTACGTTTCGCGAAATAAAGCTGTGAACATGAAAACTTTTAATTATATCTTCTTACCTCTCCACTCCAACGTATAAGTGGGGATATCGTAACATTCTACGCAGGACATATTTCAACGTAGGACGTGGCATAAGAAGACGAATAAAGAGTTTATTAAAAAAATGTGTCAGGTGTGGGATTCGAACCCACGCACCCTTTCGGGTATCGGAGCTTAGATCCAACGCCTTTGACCACTCGGCCAACCTGACTTATAGTATTCAATGTAGGATGTGGCATATTATATAACATTTGACGTATTAGCGCGGAACATGAAATATAACTGAGTAATTGATAGCGTCTGCTATTTATCTAACTGCCTCTCCCACGCTAAAACTATGTTGCGCAATATTTCGTAAGACTATTCATTTATGCATCACATGCCGGGCTTAATTATTAAATACAACGGATTATGCACCTGCTTCCTGCCTCCATGCGAATATATTTTATCTTACATTAAATAATCGAATTGGAATGTGCACGTGTTTCCGGCTATATATCGTGATCGCGTGAGACATTTTTAATAGCCGGCGTATGAGATGATGTCATTATTCTCAGTAGCATTCAACTGATCATGTAAAGTATAAATTGAAAAATAAACGAATTTTTGTTATTATGGTAATCGATAAAATATATACGAGGTAACTCGTAAAATATAAATTGAAAAAATTTAGAAGTTTTACGCTAATGGTTGTAGGTTTTAATTACAAAAAAATACGAGGAAAAATTGCTCTCTTTGTCTGTCATTCGTCTTCTTCTCTTTGTCAATTCATAGAACGCAGTCACCGACAGCGATTGTACATCGTTCTCATTGGTTACGTTGGACGTGTAGCTTCGTTATTATTGGGGGGGCGTCTTTTCGGGAGGAATGGGGGGACTGGGAACGTCTTTTCGGGGGGAATGGGGGCGTCTTTTCGTTAATATTGTGGTACGACTCCACCATTAGTCGATGCACGTCTTTCTCATTGGCCGTTGATGCACACCATTGGCCTCCAACGTCACGAGGATGTCCGCCATTGGTTGAGGACACGTTTCTGTGGCATCATTGGTCGAGAAAAACGTTCTAACGTCACGAGGAGGGTGTTACTATGACACCATTGGTCCCTCATCGCTATACCGCCATTTCTATGTTGTTTATTCAAATTCTAAGCTGTCATTGGTCGCTGGGGGTGTTGCTATTCCCACCACTGACGCTGCTATGTTGCCATTGGTCAACGACACGTTCCGACGTCACGAGGACGTCCTCCATTGGCCAGCAGGCCATTGGGGGATGTTCCTATGCCACCATTGGTCTGCTATTCCCACCACTGACGCTGCTATGCTGTCATTGGTCGACGACACGTTCCGACGTCACGAGGAGGGCGTTACTATGCCACCATTGGCCTGATATTCCCACACTGACGCTGCTATGCTGTCATTGGTCGACGACACGTTCCGACGTCACGAGGAGGGCGTTACTATGCCACCATTGGCCTGATATTCCCACCACTGACGCTGCTATGCTGTCATTGGTCAACGACACGTTCCGACGTCACGAGGAGGGCGTTACTATGTCACCATTGGTTCCTCATCGCTAGACCGCCATTTCTATGATGTTTATTCAAATTCTGAGCTGTCATTGGTCGCTGGGGTGTTGCTATTCCCACCACTGACGCTGCTATGCTGCCATTGGTCGACGACACGTTCCGACGTCACGAGAACGTCCACCATTGGTCACAAGACATGGGGGGACGTTCCTACGCCACCATTGGCCGAGGGGCGTGGTCTAGAGACACAAGGTACGTTCCTACGTCACCATTGGTCGAGGGGCGTGGCCTCGAGACCCTAGGCACGTTCCTACGTCACGAGGGGGGCGTGGCCTTGGCCCATGAGGATACGTACGCTTGACGATCGACGTGTGACGTCACTTCCGCTCCAGAAGGAACACTATCTACCTACTTCTATATTAGGACCTACATTTTTTCTTCTATATCTCAACGATATATTTCATTATACCCACCCCTTAAGGTGTATATGTTTTGCAGATGATACAACCGTTATTAGTACCGACCAGAATCAATATAATTTAAATAACAAAATAGGAAACGATGTGCTTAAAATTAAAAACTGGTTTACACATAATAAACTAAAACTAAACGAGGATAAAAATCAAAATATAGTTTTCAGTTCAGATCGAAGACACATTTTTGGATATAGCATCAAATTGTTAGGGATTTTTATGGATGACAACTTAGATTGGGGCATCCATATAGACAACTTAAGTTCTAAACTCGCCAGTACAATATTTGTAATGCGTAACCTAGTTTATTTGGTACCTAAAAGTACCCTTAAAATGTGTTACTTTTCATTGTTTCATAGTTATATACAATATGGAATAGCTGTTTGGGGCAACTCTTGTCATGCCGACAGAATATTTAAATTACAAAAGAAGGTGGTGAGGATACTTGCTGGAGCGGATTTAAGGGATCATTGTAAACCATTATTTTTGAACATGGGTATTATGCCTCTACCTTCGCTTTATATATATGCAACACTGTTGGAAATTCACGATAATAAAAATAAGTTTACTATAAACTCCCAATTACATGATCATCTAACAAGATCGAGGGATTTAATTAGGTCACAACGATTCAGACTATCAAAGAGCACAAAGAATTCAATTGATATTCACTTGTATAACTATCTGCCTAACGAAATAAAAATTCTGTCTCCACCACTGTTTAAAAATAGGATCAGAAAGCATTTTTTAACATACTGTTTTTACTCAAAGACAGAATACCTCAATACACCTTTATAACGTGTACCCAGTTTGGTCAGAATACTGTCGATTTACTATCTACATATCACATTGTATTATTGCTATTAAAATGTACTAAGTTTTATGTATTAGTTTATTTAGTCATCGATTCGGGAATATTCTTAATTATTTGTACATTTTTGTTACTTCCATATTTCAAAGATTTTTTATGTGACAGTTTAGGTTTGTTTTTTTTTTTTAGAGATTTTTTTATCTTAAATTTTTAATTTTAATTCTTCTGCTAATACTTACATATGTATATTACTTTAGCCAATATGGTTAAGTTAATTTTAAGTTTACATTATTATATCTTTTATTGTATTTTTAATACGGACTTCAAACTTTATGTAAAGTGGTCAATAAACGTTCTATCTATCTATCTATCTATCTATCAATTTTTTAAGAATATGTTTTGGGTATCCATTATTTTCAAAAATGTTTAAAAGCAAATTTAAGTTTATGTTTATGAATTTTTCTATCACTAATCACTAATATACCTTACCCTTACCCTATTCTTCATTGCAATCACTGTATTAAACTTTTGATGAGTGGGATGATTTGAGAAAAAGTTTAAATACTTTCCAGAGTGTGTTGGCTTTTGATACCAATCTATCAATATTTTTGTTTTGTTAAGTTCTTATTAATTTCTATCAATCTCTAAAGTAAATTGAATATGTTTGTTAAAGTTATTGAAAATGTTCAAAGTATTCTGAATTTGTGAAATAGGAACTGAACATATAAGATCGTCTACAATTTTTTTAATAAAGGGTATGTATATAAAATTTTAACTATATTTTAGTTGTCTCCTGATGAAGCTGACAAAAAATCAGCGAAATATAGAGTAATAAAAGAAAACAGAGTTTTTTTTGAATAACAGACCGCATACCTGATACTCCAATACAATAAATTATTATATATGTATATATACCTATATATATATATATATATATATATATATATATATATATATATATATATACATATATATATATACATATATATATATATATATATAACGAGGTAACGTTTCATTTGGACCGACAATATCGGTCTGCTGAAAATCTTGCACTAGATGCAAGCCATACGCAAAGACCCAAAAAAAACGAATGTATGGGCTGGTATTGTGAGAAATACAATTATTGGTCCATATTTTTTTGATGAAAATTTAAAAGGAGCATTATATCTGGATTTCGTACAAAATACATTAATTCCTGACCTGATTTGTAAACACAAAAGGGGACCAGTGGAATGACCCCCAAGATCACCTGATTTGAATCCATTAGATTTATTTTTATGGGGTTATTTAAAATCTAAAGTCTGCACAAACAGACCTGATAGTATCCGTCAACTACAAGACCGAATTAGACAAGAAATAAAGAACGCTATGCTACAGAATGTTAAAAACGAAAGTAATGACCGGTTCAGTTATTGTTTCACGATCAATGGAGAACAATTTGAACATTTACTGTAAATTTTCGTTTGTTTATTTTTGTTAATGTACCTATCACAGTAATTACATGATACTATAGTAGTTGTAGCATGGACTTATAAACACAGATGGACTCAGTTATTTACATAAAATTGTGAAGTAAAAATTATTTGAATAGGTCACATTCTCAGGACCTTCAACTGTTGTCACGTTTTTTATTAAAATTTCTTATTCGCGAGTCGCTGAAAGTATTACGTTATATTAATATATTTAATTGTAATCAAAATATCAAATATGCACATAGTGTGCATTATCATTTAATAATAGCGTATAATAGATATCAATCATTATTTTATATGCAGAAGCACTGAAAACTATTTATAAATGGCAACGGTATTTACATTTTTCTGTCTTATGGCTTTACGTCAAACTTCAAACGCTGGGCTGTTTCATGTTTGTTTACTGTTTACAGTAGATGAGGAAAAGTTGTTTTTCGATATTTGGGCTGTATTTTGAATATTTGTGAAAAGTGAAATAAACATATTATAATAATGGTGGTACAGTGTTGCATTTGCAAAAAAAAACGAAATATTTACATCCCGATCTCTCATTTCATTTGTAAGTACTGTCTATTTACATTATTTAATATGAGGAACTGAGGAAGCGTGTTTGTTTATGTCTTTCATAGGCGTACCATTGAGTTTATTCATGTTCATTAATGTATTAAATACGATATGAGCTCATGAAATTAGTAGACATTTTTAAATTGTAAGTAGACATCATCTGAGTAAAAAATATCTGTTTAGTACCTTTTTAATTTAATATTTCTCATGGACACAAATAAATTAGTGAAATGAATAAAACACATTTATTTTTCTATGTAGGTTTCCAAATAATATTGACGATCGAACTATTTGGGTATCAAATTTAGGAGAAAAAATAGATTTTTTATTGTAGCATTATTTTATACTATTACCTATAAAATTACCTATTAACAAATTTATTTGAATTCAACTATATTTTCTTATATTAATTTTAAAACAAATAAAATTGTATTTTAATTTTTCTATAAAGACGTGACGTGTAATAACATTCTATCGAAGCTTCAAAACATTGTGTGTTAAAGGTATCTTATTGCTGTGTCCATCTGTGTTTATACGTCCATGAGTTGTATATATAGTTTTATATAAATATGTAATTTAATTTAATGTGTTTATTACGTTTATCCCTAATATATAATTTTGTGGTAACTTAATATTTTTGCATTTTTGCCACCCTGTACCAATTTGAAGCAACGTGTTATACATTTGTGGAATCAACTCAGCAAAGAAAATCCATAAATTAAAAAAAAAAAGGTGGTTCCATTAAAAAAAATGATGACGTAATCATAGGAACGTAGTTCACCCTATATATTAGGTTATAATTTGAAAAAGTAGTAAATTAAAATCGACCCGTTTCGGGAATTTGTAATAATTTTTATTATTTAGCTAATAATGAATTTATGCGTTACTTTATGGACGGACGTGCAAATTTTGCATTTTTGTCACCCTGTACCAATTTAAACAACGTGTTATACATTTTTGAAATATGCTCAGCAAGGGAAATTTATAAATTGATTAAAAAAATAATGGGTTTCATTAAAAAAAATGGTGATGACTTCTTATCCGAAGTTTTGTGTAAAATATTAATGATTGTACCAACAATTGCACTTTTTTCATTCCTTTAATTAAGAGGTATGTGGATCTAAACAGGATGAAAATGAAATTTTTAACAGGGTTAAAAGAATGTGTTTTAAGGCTTTCCTAACCAAATTATCTACAGGAAGGTCTTCAACTGCTTAAAACTATTTTAATTGAGAACTCTTATCCTTCACATATAATACATACGATGCTTTTTTCTAATACTGTTAATATTGCGAAATCTCAGAACATTGTTTCTGATAATCAAAACATCTATTATTATTCACTGCCTTCTATATATATATATATATATATATATATATATATATATATATATATATATATATATATATATCTATATATCAAATTATTCTCGACCGTACTGTGTTAAATATTATTTGTAGTCTCAGCAATTGGTCTGTATGAAATAAAACTCTATTTGTTATTTCTCAATATTTCGTCACGATTTTGTGACTTCTTCAGGAGAAACTGTAAATTTATTATAATTATTATATGTAAACAAAATGAATATTTCAATACTTACAACTTAAGATTAAAAATTTAAATTTTGATAACAAATCCAATTTAAATAAATGACATTTTTTTTTATTTTAATTTATTTGGGAGTTATGGTAACCGCAATATTTTATAGAGTGAATTCCCATTGTACAATTTTTAGCGAATAAGTTTTAGTAAACAATTACATATTGTGACAGTATTATCCATATAATAAGGTGCAAAAGTAGAAGATTGAGAAAGAATCAGGAACATGGTAAATTGATCTATAAAATGTAATTGATGGTACGTAGTCAGTTATTGGTCTGATGTTATATGATTGTACCAACAATTGCACTTTTTTCATTCCTTTTTCCAATCTTCTACTTTTGCACCTTATTATATGGATAATAATGTCACAATAAATTAAAATCAAAAAAATGTCATTTATTTAAATTGGATATGTTATCAAAATTTAAATTTTTAATCTTAAGTTGTAAGTATTGAAATATTCATTTTGTTTACATATAATAATTATAATAAATTTACAGTTTTCTCCTGAAGAAGTCACAAAATCGTGACGAAATATTGAGAAATAACAAATAGAGTTTTATTTCATACAGACCAATTGCTGAATATATATATATATATATATTATATATATATATATATATATATATATATATATATATATATATATATCATCATTAACGCTTAAATTAATACAAATACTACAGGTTATTATTGACAAAATAAAAATAGCAACAAAAAACATTAAAACTATTTCTTTTTATTTAAAAACTAAATATCCTACAGATAAATTAGAAAAAAACAAATTTAGTATACAGTGTTAGTTGTAGTCAGTGTGGAATTGTTGAAGAGGACCCAGGAGTTGAAAAAATAGCAGAAGAATTGTATAAAGTAGGTGGCGACCACCTAACAAGTCACATCCACGCGATCATCACAGACATATGGCAAGAAGAGAAAATACCCGACGACTGGAAGAAAAGTATAGTATGACCGATCTATAAATAAGTAGACAAACTCCAGTGCAAAAACTATCGTGGAATTTCTCTACTATGTACAGCACATAAAGTCCTTACATATATTATAAACCAGCGGCTCCAACCACTAGCATTATTAGCATTACTAGCAAAATATTATTGGGGAGTATCAGACGGGCTTTCGATGGGGAAGATCATTGATGTTCACAACGTGTTTATAGATTTCAAACAGGCATACGATTCAGTCAAAAGGAACAATCTCTACAATATATGGGCTGAATTGGCAATACCACACAATCTAATTAGACTCATTAAAGCCAATGAAACTCAATCATGTGTACTAATACAAAACAATCGAACAGACTTTTTCAAAATTTCGCAGGTATTAAAGCAGGGAGATGGGCTGGTCCCAACTTTGTTTAACCTGACACTGGAGTATGCCGTTAGGCAAATGCCAACTGGACAAGGAAACTTACTGACCAACCGAATGGTTCATTTGGTCGCTTATGCCGATGATATTAATATTATGAGTAATTAACACTGGAAATTAACACAGAAAAAATAAAAATAATGATACAGACGAGAAGAAATATAGTCTCACAAAACATTATACATGAAAATGACATTGAAAAGAGAATAACGCGGGCAAACAAAGCTTATTTTGCCCTTTCCCATATATTTCGGCTTAAAAATGACCACCGAAATACAAAGATTAAAATCTATAAAATCTTAATTCGACCAATAACATGCTATTGCAGTGAAGCATGGGTCCTGAAAGAAATAACCAAAAGCAAACTCGATACATTCGAAAGGAAAGTACTCAGGAGAATACTAGGACCTGTGAGGTAAAAACGGAATCTTCAGAAGTCAATACAACATCGAGCTTTATCAACTTTATAAGGAAGCACCACTGTCAGACTTCATTAGAATACAAAGATTGCAATGGGCCGGACATGCGATAAGAATGGGAGAGGATACAGTTTTGTTTAATGAAAGTAATAAATTCAAAAGGACCTGTTTAGAAATGATGTGTATTAGCAAAAGGGATAATAATTTGTAAACAAAAGATCATAAATTCAAAATCTAAGTAAAATTTATACCTATATTATTTTTTTATAATTAATTCATCAAACCATCAATAATTTTATTACCATATTATACTTGTTACATTTTTTCGGGCATCTGTAAGTAATATGAAAAATTTTTGTTTTTTTTTCCTTTTAAAAAAATTTCATGTTAGCATTTTAATTGTCAAAAACAAATTCCACTATAAACTATTTCTCTCTGAAGGTTGGCAATCATGACATTAACGGTTATTTGTACTTCCTATTGGTTTCTAATTTATCTTGATTAGTATTTACCATAATTCAATTTTTTTTTATTTAATTAAAAAAAAGAAACATTTATTAGATCAAAACATTTTTAATTCTAATATTTATTTAAATTCGTTTGACAGTGGTTTCATTAACCAACCTAATGTTATCTGTTGAGTTACTACTTTTTTGCAATTAATTGTTTCACTCTATCAGGTACTTTTTATTTTAGCTCTTGAAAAGAATAATTGTAACCGCAGTTGAGATCTCAAGTGATTAAAGAATAGTAGTTTTCTAAAAGCCGCTATGCCGAAGTCTGCTGGTGGAAGGATTGAAAGACCTATTGCCCCTTTCACTGCGGAAAGCGCGATATCGCGTCCTCAGAGTGTTTCCTAAAATGCGGAGGGCGCGATATAGCGGTCTATGTAAATGTGACTTCAAATATAAACTATATCTTCCGCAGTCTTTAGAATGGCACAAAAATAACTCCGCACATACAGAAAGGTCTATTTTATCACAGTGAACTGTCCGTTGTAGAACTGGTTGCCTATTTTCGTAAATAAATTATCTCAAATATAACCTATAATTTTTGACATTACCTTGTGATTAGTATCTACTTTTAATATGTCGTTTTCATAACAAAAGTTTTTAATTTGTGTTGTATTGATTTTCTATAAAGAATGAGTGATTCACAGCAACCTGGACCTTCAGGTATGAAAAAGCGAAAAGTCATAAATGTAAGAAATCCAAAAAAATTATCGGTTGAGGAAATGACAGAATTTTTATATAACTCTGATACGGAAAGTGAGCAAGATGACGAGGATGAATGTAAGTAAATAATTTTAATGTGCTATATTATAGAAAATTTAAATATATATTTTTTAGTTCAAGTGGAAGATTTCTACAATAATGGAGATTCGGATTCAGATCTTACAGAAAATGAGGAGAGTTTTATGCAAGACAGAGCGGAAATGATTGTGCACGATGAGATTTTAGAGGGTACAAATGAGATCCAGGCTGAAAATTCGTGGAATGAAATAAGTACTATGAAAAATATTCCTTTTATGGGAACAAATAAACTATTAGTTCAATCTCCTGGTGACGAACCATATGACTGGTTTAGGATGCTAATCGATGATGAATTTCTAGAAACTGTAGTGAGTGAATGTAATAACTATGCCATTCAAGTACTGGCTACTAGTAAAGGATCTGTACGATCGAGAATCACCGAATGGAAAGAACTGACAGTAAAAGAGTTCCTTATGTTTTTAGGATTAACTTTACTTACTGGTACTGTCAAACTTCCTGAGTTACAAGATTACTGGAAAAAACACAGACTATTAACAACTTATTTTTCAAACTACATGAGTAGAGACAGGTATTTATTAATTATGCGTTGTCTTCATTTTTGTACAACTTGGATGGAAGGTGATCAAATCCCCGAAGATCGTCTTTTTAAAATTAAACCTGTAATAGAACATTTCAACAATGTGATGAAGAAAGTTTACTATCCTAATAGACAACTTTCGTTAGATGAGTCAATGGTCTTGTGGAAAGGAAGACTTATCTTCAAACAATATCTTCCAAATAAGCGCCACAAATATGGAATCAAACTCTATATGTTGACGGAACCCAGTGGACTTATTTTGAAATTTATTGTTTGCGGTGGCGAACGTGACTTGTTAGGAGGTAAAGATCATACAAAAAAAGTAGTAATGCATTTACTGAGCGATTACTTAGACAAAGGCCACTCAGTTTTCATGGATAACTATTATAATAGTTTCCAGTTGGCAAAAATGTTACTGGATAGAAAGACTTACTGCACGGGAACGCTACGTAAAGATAGAAAGGGTTCTCCAAACGAAGTTATTCGCGCGAAATTAAAGAAAGGTGTAAGCCAGGCTATGTATCTCGATAATATAATGATTGGTAAGTGGCGTGACAAGAGGGATGTAATTTACATATCTTCAGAATTTGAAAATCGTATGATGATAGTGACGAATCGAAGAGGTATTGAAAAGAAAAAACCACAACCTATCGTCGAATATAATAAGTATATGGGTGGTGTAGATCACCAGGATCAACAAATGGCGTACTATCCAGTAATTCGAAAGACTTTACGGTGGTACAAGAAATTAGGAATCCACATTTTCCAAATGATGATGATTAATTCACATATATTATATAATAAGTATCACGTTCAAAAAATGAGTCTTGGATAAATTTAGAACGTCAGTTTTAGAAAGGTTGTTACCAGAACCCAAATCAGTAACTATAACTAACGTGAAAAGTTCCCAACATATGCTTACTAAAATTAATACAACAAATGAAAAAGGTCACACCATGCGTAAAAAATGCCGTATCTGTACAAGAAAACAGCTACGAAAAGACAATTTGTTTCACTGTCTTTGTTGTCCAGACCACCCCGGACTATGTATGGGTGCATGTTTTGTTGAGTACCATAAAGAAAATTAGTTACATTTTACGTATTATTTACTTTTGTTTTTATATTATTTGACATAAATTTCTGTTTTTTTTTTGTATCTTTTTTAATAAAAAATAAGTTTGCATATTTCTTTTTAGTATTATATACCTTGACACAATATTTTTGAGCTACAAAATAAATTCAGTGAAGCATAATTAGTTTTTATTACTTTTTATTGGGCCGCGAATTCGCGCTTTCCGCAGTTTAAAAAAAATTTCCAAAAATGTGCGGAGGACGCGAATTCGCGTCTAACAAAAAGTAAGTAAAATGACCATCAGCAGTAGATTCTCAACCGATTTCCTTCACACAATTCATAAATCATATTTGAATATACGCAAAAAAATATTTCCGCACAGGTCTACATTCATATATTATTACCGCAGTGAAAGGGTTAATTAATATATCGTGCTAGTTTTTTCAGTCTACTCAGGCTGAAACGCTAAGGAAGTAAAGGCTGCCATAATTAGTTCCATGCAATAGACCGAAGTAAAATCCACAAAAACAGAAACCGATACAGGAAATAATCCGAATATTCAAAAGTTAAGGGCACCAAAATTTAGGAGATACCAGACAATAAAGTTGTAAAATGTCAGTTTTGTAGATCTAACCTGCCCAGCCAAAAATGATCCTTATAATCCCCATGAAAACTTGATATGGTTTACATAGAGTACAGGAGAAGTGTAACGAAAGGGTAGGGTTCCGTACAAAAATCTCACGACGAAGTGTGGAAGATAAGTAGTGTCTCGTCTGACGTACTCATTTATTATTTTCTAAACTATGAGAGATTAAAATGGATGGCCGTGATTCAATATTATGCAATTTTACCTATATTCCAACGACATACAATTTTTATAAATGAAGTGATTCAATAAAATAAATTTCTCATGCATTAATATAATGAATTAATTAACGAGTAATTTCAAGTAATAAAAAACATATAAATAGATAAAAATAGCTTTAAGAAATGTTACTTTAAGACGAATATGTTTTCATAGTAATAAAGTACCACAAAAATTATATAAACCTGCACCATGTATAAACATTTAAACGACGATTTAATTGGCTATAATACCGCGCTCTAGTAAGGTTACGTAAATACACAAATCCAATAATTTCTCATTTCCCAACACGAGTTAAATAAAGTTTTATGGCTTTTGTCTGTATTATATTAATAATGAATATTAAATAAAATAATTTATAATATAATTGTGGTGTTACTAGAGGATTTATTTCGTTAAGTTTTACTCTCATCTTTCGGATTAGTAATATTTCGATTTAGTATACCACTCTTAAGGTCGATTCAAACACATCAGTCACGCTACAGTTCCGGCGCCGAACCGGTACCGTCACAGAACTACTCGTTTCGTCTGTTCGTACACACCCGGATTGCATCATTCTTCGGCGATCAATCTGTTGAAAAGATGCCAAGTTTCTCGGATGAATAATAGGCAATATAAAGACATACCCAAACAGTACAGTACGTTTTAAGTACGTACAATTTTGGTACTGTACGTACATGATGTAAAATGTACGTTTTAAGTACGTACATTGAGGTACAAACCAGTACGTACAGAAGAGTACGTACTTATTACGTCTTAAGTATGTACATTCCAGTACGTACAGAAGAGTACGTACTTATTACGTCTTAAGTATGTACCATGAGAAAGAAGAGTTAAAGCATATTTATTATGTTATGTTATGTTATGTGGCCTGTTTGCGGGGAGCAAGGTAGTCTGGGCACACTTTTAACTGTTTTATTGCTTTATTAACAATAACTACATACTAAAAACAAGTAAGAAAACTGTAAGAGTTCTTTTCGTTGTTGCCTCGTAGTCATGATATTCGTGTTCTGGCAGACATCAGCTGACTCCTCTCCTCTTCTTTTCTCCGTCGACGTTCCCTCACTTCGGTAGCACAGTCAACCCATGTGTGGCTGGAGATTAACTGTCAATCTGCCACAGGGCTCCCCTCCAGTGAGGAACTTGCTGGTTTCGAACGGCTATGTTGACCTGTGTTGCTGATCAGATGGTTGGCATATGCATGTTCTTCCTGCACCTGTTGGGCCGCTGGAATATATGCTGGTTTGAGTCGGTCCATGGAAATTCGCTGAGGAACATTTTGGACATCCACAGTTAAAAACTTATCACTTCGTTCTAACACTCTAAAGGGGCCGGTATAAGGAGGTGTAAGAGGAGGCTTCACTTTATCGGTCCGCACAAACACATGACTCGTAGTCTGTAGATCCGGATGGACAAAGGCAGTACGGGCTGAGTGGTTGCTCGTCGGTACAGGACGCAATGCTCCCATGGTCTCACGTAGTCGTTGGACAAAACTATGCTCGTCGGGTGTAGCAGCACTAGGGACAAGAAGCTGTCCAGGGAGACTCATTGGGGTACCATACACTAACTCGGAGGCTGTACATGCAATGTCTTGTTTGAAAGTGTTTCGAAGGCTTAGCATGACCAGAGGGAGGGCTTCAACCCACGATACTGTATCCGCGGCAATGAGGGCAGCCTTGAGCGTTCGGTGGAAACGTTCAATACATCCGTTTGATTGTGGGTGGTAGGCAGTGGTTTTAATATGTTGTACACCTAGCAATCCATTGAGCTGGCGGAACAACTGGCTCTCAAATTGCCTACCTCGGTCCGTTGTTATGGTTGCTGGCACGCCAAACCTGGATATCCATGCCTCAAGGAGCTTCTGTGCGACAACTTCGGTTGTAATCTCCGAGATAGGTATGGCCTCTGGCCATCTTGTAAAACGGTCGATGATTGTGAGCAGATATCGAAAGTTCTGATTTGCTGGAAGTGGGCCCACAATGTCTATGTGTATGTGTGCGAATCTATCGTCTGGCATTCCTAGAGGTGTCACAGGTGTAAAGGTGTGACGTCCAATTTTGGCACGTTGGCATTGGATGCACTCTCGTGACCACTGCTTGACTTGGCGATTCATGTTATGCCATACAAAACAAGACTGAACAATAAATAGGTCGCTGGCTATCTGGTAGAACTATGCGTTGAAGTTGTAAGGAACTGGCAGGATCGTTCAGAGTCTGTTGAGGACCCTCATCTGTAGTCTGAGCTTCGGATAGCCGGTCATAGTCAATGGTAATGGGTGTTGTGATAGCGTCTACTTCAGGTCGTGAGAGACAATCGGCAACGATATTGGCTGTGCCCTGTATGTGTCGAATATCGGTCGAGAATTGGCCAATAAATTCTAGTTGACGTATCTGTCGTGGAGACTGCCGCTCATGTCGCTGTTGGAAGGCAAACGTTAAAGGCTTGTGATCAGTATAAATGGTAAACGGCATGCCCTCAAGAAAATGGCGGAAGTGATGTATGCCACTGAATATGGCAAGCAACTCTCGGTCATAAGTGCTATAGTTTGCGCTCCGTCGTAGAAAGCTTTCGAGAGAAGAAAGCGATGGGCTGTAGGTGTTCACCTATAAGCTGTTGCAAAACACCGCCGATGGCAGCATCTGAGGCATCAACAGACATGTTCAATTGGGCATTTGGTGCTGGAAAGACCAATTCAGTCGACGAGGCTAAGAGTTCTTTGACCTTGGTGAAAGCTGCTGCGGCTGCTGGTGTTAATGTTAGTTCTTGCTGCTTTTTCTTTTGCTGAGACAATAACTCCGTTAGTGGCATTAGCTCATTGGCAGCATTAGGTAACCAACGTCTGTAGAAATTGAGCATACCCATAAATCGTCGTAGCTGTCGATAGGTCGTAGGTTGTGGAAACTTGCGAATCGCGCTAACTTTAGCCGGCAATGGGCGAACGCCAGTTGGAGGATACCGTGGCACCCAAGAAATTTACTTCACGTTTACGGAATTTTGATTTATCCTTGTTGATTTGGAGTCCATTTGCTTCCAGAATCCGGAGTACTGATGCCAGGTGTTGCTCATGCTCAGTCTCAGTCTCCGAGGCAACCAAAATATCGTCAATGTATACATACACATATGAGCATTCTCGAAAAAGGTGATCGAGGTACCTCTGGAACGTCTGGGCAGCATTTCGCAAACCGAACGGCATTCGGAGAAACTCGTACAGCCCAAAAGGGGTTATTACAGCCGTCTTTTGGACATCCTTCGGGTGGACTGGAATTTGGTAAAAAGCACGTACCAAATCGATGCAAGAGAAAATTTTCTTACCATGTAGCTGGTTAGCAAAATCCTGGATGTGCGGTATCGGGTAGCGATCTGGTTTCGTCATGGCATTTAAACGGCGGAAATCTCCACAGGCACGCCGTCGTCCATTGGACTTCTGAACTAAGTGAAGTGGACTGGTTCAAGATGACTTTGATGGTCGGATAATGCCTGTTCGCATGAGCTCGTTGAATTCTGCTCGTGCAGCTTGAAGACGGTCTGGTGGAAGTCTTCGTGGTTTAGAGAAAACTGGTGTTCCTCGAGTCTCAATATAGTGCTGGACTCTTTCAGTATCCTCTGGTATAGCAGCAGTTGGACGATCATAAGGATGGGCAGTGGATAAGCCTACTTCTGGCACCCTAACACGACGAGACACACAGGTAATACTGCTTGACATACTTGGACTTACTAGTCGTTTGTTTCTCATGTCTACACTAATGCCATGGTACGTCAGAAAATCGGCTCCTAGTATGGGTGTGGTGACATCTGCGACTATAAATGTCCATGTTACAGGTTGGCCTAGACCAAGATTTAGTGTAAGCTGTTTCTGACCATATGTTTGTATGCACGATCCGGTGGCAGAATACAGGCATACAGTGCTGGCTTGAGTCGCAGTGCAGATTTTACGTGGAAGCACACTTAGGTCTGCCCCTGTATCAATAAGAAATTGAAGTTGGAGAGCACTATCGGTAATGAAGAGGCGGCGTGGTATGTGAGGGGCTGCGGTTGCCGCCATTACTGCGCCCTTTGATCGTTTTTTGTAAAATTGCAGGGTGGTCTACATTTCTTTGCATGTGCACCAAATCTTCGATGGTAGTAACACTTTTCGTCAGATGATGACTTGGTAGTCTTGACCATTTGAATCTGTTGACCTTCTTCAGCTACAGTTAATCTGTTGGATAAAGCATTCACTTGGTCACTCAATGCAGCCACTGTTTTGTCTAAGGTAGAGTTTTCGGTAACAACCATGGCTGGAAAACTGGAACACCGGAGGTACGTATTGGCTTTCTTAGCAAGTTCTTCTAGGTCTCCATCAAGAATAGATATAACGCTTCGAACTGAAGGTATTAGGCGGTCCAACCAAAAATTTTTGAGAACTTGCGTACTAATGCTATCCATGGCCAAAGCTTGCATTCGATGGAGTAGTTGAGTGGGTTTTAAGTCACCCAGAGTGAGTTCCATCAACTTGTGGATCTTTTCATCTGAGCTGGTGCCATACCTGTCTAGAAGTCGAGCTTTTAGTTGTATATAAGCATTGCCAGCAGTGGGATTCTTTACTATGTCTGCTACTTCTATAAGTACTTCACTGTTTAAACTAGCAACAGTATGGTCGAATTTACAGTTGTCAGTTGTGATTTTGGCTTGTCGAAACTGAGCTTCCAGTAGGAGAAACCATAGTTCTGGTTTAGTGCGCCAAAATTCTGGCGCTTTGATGCCTACCCGTGCAATTAACGAATGGTCATCGCCTTCGCACGGTGTAATATTTATATTTGGCATTGTTTGGTCAGAGTTTGTCATCTTTGTGTATAAAACTTACTTACAGTTTTTTTCTCTCGGGGTCACCAATGTGGCCTGTTTGCGGGGAGCAAGGTAGTCTGGGCACACTTTTAACTGTTTTATTGCTTTATTAACAATAACTACATACTAAAAACAAGTAAGAAAACTGTAAGAGTTCTTTTCGTTGTTGCCTCGTAGTGTGATGATATTCGTGTTCTGGCAGACATCAGCTGACTCCTCTCCTCTTCTTTTCTCCGTCGACGTTCCCTCACTTCGGTAGCACAGTCAACCCATGTGTGGCTGGAGATTAACTGTCAATCTGCCACAGTTATGTTAACCTAACCTAATTTATTTAGTTAGGAATTTTACACCTCGAGTACAGTTGTGATGTGATAATTAATTGCAAGATAGTTTCATTTAGATTTGTTTTACTTATTTTTGATGCTTGTGGTTTTCTGTTATTTTATTCAGTCGAGTGTTTTTTGTGTCAAAAATGTAGTGATAAGAAAGTGGCGGAGCAAGAAATTGGACGATGGTTGAAGAGAGTCGGGGATCGCTTAAAAACTTTCTTTCTTATTTTTAAAAGAATAAAAATTGAATTTATTTAAAAAAAATAAAAATATATTCACCTATATTTACTTTTATTTACATAAATTATCATAAGTGTGTATAGTA